GCCTCTTCAAACTGGCGGGTGCTGCGGCAGAGCCGGCGGCTCTTCTTCAGGCGCCGGTGCCTCGAGCAATGGCTGCCTCGGACGAGGAGGAATCGGAAGGGCTTCGGCTCAGGGTGGTTTTTCTGGGACTCAGTTGGCGGATCCCTTTAAGAGCCAAGTGCTTCCGGAGCTGCGAGAGCGGCGGTGTTGCTCTAATCTGAGCAGATGCAGGCCTCGGAAGCTGTTCAAGGACTCGTCGCCGACTGCGTAGTCATCAAAAAGGACTCAACGACTGTAGCTGAGCAGCCAAACTTCAAGTGGCAAAACACAAAGCCGATTCAGATTATGTCCAGAAGTCATGGAGGCTGAGGACCACGCCGCATGGCACTTGTGGGGCGGCTTCGGTGCACCGCACTGGTCGGTCGGGAAAGGACCCTTGCACACGCTTCGGACTTGCCTCAGTGCTGATCGGAGCACGGGCCATGCAGAGCTCGAAATGACGAAACCCGATTACGGCTGGGCTAATCAATGTCAAGCAGCTCTTGGCTGCTGTCAGCTGCTCGATCATGTATGCGAACCTCGTACCAGCTCAGAAGAAACCGGCCATGTTTGCTATGTCTCTGCTCACAAGAACCGTCGCAACGACCAAGGCCGTATGCAAAGCTGAAACTCCACTGAAGCCAGCTGGTTCAATCCATGCGGCGGATCCTGGGGCTTGTCCTGACCCCGTGGTGATCGTACTATACATGCACCGTCTGACAGCAGTCTCCCACCAAAACCGAAGCCAGAAGAGGTAGAGCAAGCGACACGAAGCAAGAGATGAAGAGAGGGAGGGTGAGGGAGGGAGGAGCGAGGGAGGGAGGAGAGAGAGGGAGGGAGGGAGGGAGGGAGGGAGGAGGCAGAGAAAGAGGGAGGGAAGGCGAGAGAGAGAGAGAGACAGACAGACAACGTGAAAGTGATGACAGCAATGAAAGGAAAAGGATACAATTAGCATTGTCCTGGATGACAGCATGGAGCAGAGACTGGACGTACTTCAGCAATCCGTTCCTCGGCAAATGCAGCACCAGGGAAGCCATGACTGCCAGCTATGCGCTGCTAGTCTGGGTGGGTGCTAGTGGCCAGCATAGCAAATCAAATTGAGCATGCACAACGTTCGATCAAGACGCTGCTCCAGGTAGTCCTTCGCAGAGGCCGCGGAGTCCTGTGTTCGGCACTTCTTTGCTCAGGCAAGTCGGAAGGCATTCTCGTCTGTCAAGGTTACACAGATCTTGCCAGCATGAACCTCCACCGCTATGTGGTGGGAAGACAACATGCACAACAAGCAGGGCAATAAAAACACTGCAGAAAAACACTCTCACAACAACCTCTTGCGAGACAACGTTGAGAAAGATGGAGACAACTCGGTCCCAAACGGCATTCAACAGCACGAGAAAGTTTTGACACTGCCCCCCCAGCAGACACAACTATGCGACACATTCTGTGCAACACCCTCTTTCGAGGGGCACGTACTTGTAGGCTACACCACTCTAAACCAAGAAATCTCTTAGTTGTGGTCGGCCAGCAAGGCATCAGGTCACAAAGCTGGGAAACACTAGTGCCAGCAACAAAAGCATTGGGCTCCAGAGTCCTTGGTCGGTATCGGCAGCTCTTTGGCGGGTCCTGCAAGGCTGCCGGCTTCAGCATCGCTGGACCCTGCCACTTTCACTGAGCCGTGTAAGGCCTTTGCTATCTCATCCTGCGGCGAACGAAAGCTATCCATCGCCAACAAGTCAAGAAGACTGCCCACACAAAGAATGGATACAAATTGTCAACGCAACAGGAAGCCATAGCCATAGCGTCACGATCAATCTGTGATTGACCCCAGCCCCCGAAACTCCCAAACTCCTATTCAGCGAGAGTCCTGCTTCTGCGCCCCCAGCTGCTGCACGGACATGCAGGCCCATAGCGAGGTTGTCGGCGTGTTCAAACCCAATTCCATAGTACTCCTTCCACCGCACTGCGAGTGGTTACTGCCCGTCACGGTGCAACGCATGAGCAGTAAACCACAGGCTGACCGGAGTGTTCGAAGTCCTCGTGCGGATGAAGCACCAGACGGGTGGAAGCAATCGGCTGGAGCACGTCAATTTTCAACGGTTCACCTTAGAAACCGCTCATGGCTGCCCTGCAGCCTTGCCACCAGAATCCGGTGGCTTCACTGAGAAGTGAAAGAAACTTTTGCAGCCGAAGCACTGAGATCTTCCAGCTGAGCCGGGAACTTCAGGGGGTGAGACAATGCCTGCGGTGAGAATCGCAGCATAGGTGTCACTGAAAACATGGTTTCCATCGCCAGGACTTGCTTTGAGAAGAAGTAACCTGCATCTTTATGTTTTGCGCTGTCTGCGTCTTCATTTTCGTTTCCCGGATTAGCTCTTCACAGTCAATCAAAAGCCAATCATAAACAATAGAAAACCGCACAACAAATGCTAACAATTCGAAAACCATGGAAACGCCACGCTCCTCATTTGGCGATTCCGAGTCATCACGCCCCCTCATTGATCGCGGTTCCGAGTCATCACTTGTCTTAAACACACCCCATCACATATCTTAAGGACCCCCCCCCCACCGCCACCCTCCTCCCCCCCCCATAATTCCGGTTCATCACATGTATTAAACGCCCCCCCTTTCCCTCCCCCCTGGGCGATTCCGGTTTGTCATACATCTTCACCTCACCCCCTTATTCGGCGATTGAGGCTCATCATATATCTGAAACAGTTGTTTGGCGATTCCGGTTCATCATATATCTTAAACTCGCCCCCCGATTGGGCACTTCCGGTTCGTCATATATCTTAAAAACGCCCCCATTGGCGATTCCGGTTCGTCATATATCTTAAACACACGCCCTTATTTGGCGATTCCGGTTCCTCATGTATGTAGTATGTTAAATATGCCCCTCAGTGGGCGGTTCTGCTCATCATATATCCTGAAAATCTTGAAACATGGTCCCGTATTTGCCGATTCCGGTTCATGATATATATATATATATATATATATATTTTTTTTTTTTAAACATGCGCCCTCATTGGGCGTTTCTGCTTCATCACATATCTTTGCGCACGACCCCCGATTGGGCAATTCCGGACACCGATCACGCCGAAAACTAAGACACGGATAACGATGAATCCCAGGAACAGGAAAGCATTCCCTGCGACAGATTCACATATCACGCAAAAAAACACAGATCACGCAAAAACTTGACACAGATCACCCCTTACCGACTTGATGGAATCATCGTGGGCATCAATCAACACCAAATGGTTATCAAACACAGAGCAAGGCGAGAGACACGGCGAGCCGTGCACGAGCACGCATACTTGTAAGATGGTAACCATGATGACCCAGATGCCTATTACAAATTATATGACAAGGGTGATATTGAAAGTAAGGTGGGGAGTTTTCCACCCGTAACGACTGGCATACAAAACAGTTGAAATGACGTGCAAGTTGGACAGAGTCCTACCCCGCCGCGTCAGACACGTGGGAATGACACAAACGCCTGTTCCCCACCACCGCTCCTCGCGGGCCCCGCTGCCCCTTACGAAGGGCCTGGCGTTGGAAGCGCTGGTGCTGCATCGGGCCGCTGTGGCGGTTGGATGCGGGTTGGGACTGCTGGGCAGGCTGGTAACACCCACCCACCCACCCACCCACGCACGCACCCATCCTAACGTCTTCAAAAGGAAAGCAAAACCTTGTCCGACAAAAAATTGCTGGCCGAAGCGCAGATTCCAGCGGAGCTTGTCGCCTGAATGGCAGGGCAGTGCAAACATGAGCCTGGCTGAATTAGAAACGTCTAGCTAAAGTCTACGACTACAGGCAAGACTTCGTCAAGATGTTCCTACTCTCCCTGAAGCTTCGCGTTCCGAGCTCGCTTCGGCATATGCAAATCCAACCACCAGCACCAAATCCAATTTGCAGTTTCGGCCTGGTGGTGCCGTAGCGTATGGACACGAGCACATCTTCAGACAGGCCGAAGGCATCAGTGACGAGCACCTGAGGATCTCAAAGTGCCAGAGATGCAGGTCTTGGTTCCGATGCTTCGCAGATGTCATCGCTGCAAGCCTCCATTGAAGTCCGCTGCAAGGCGAAGGACCCACTGAGCCGAAGCGGCTGCACAGGATTATGATGGATTATGTATGCCGATACAGACTCCCAGATCTCATCGCAAATCCGCTTGGGGCACACTCAACAAGTCCTCCCTCAACTGATCGACGGGGCCGAAGTTTACGTGACTGAGAGGGGCCGGGGGGGGGGGGGGGCGGCAGTACTTTGAGGCCCGTGAGGAAATAGCAGTGTTTCTCGCGGGTCCCAAGCAATGTGCGCAAGCTGAAACCTAACCATCACAACTCCATATTCCCAAAGCAGGCAAGCAGCCTTGGACTCGTTTCTACCCTCCCCGACTGCAGGGCTGTTACCAGCATGGTTACCGGAAATGCCGGTGTGAGGCACGCAGACTAGGCAAGCTAGGCCGTTCATGTATCGGATGAGAGAATAAACGATTAACAGAACAGCGGCCTGTCAGTGACTTGTTACAGTCTTGCCCGCCAGTACCAATTCCAAACGCAGAGACGAAACCAATTAAACACGAAATCAGGAGTTCTTGTAGCAACCCACCATAATAATCGATTCCTGATTTGGGATGATGTCTATACATACATCTTACTATCTTACTGATACATATTAGATTATATTGTATTATATTATATTGTATTATATTATATTATATTATATTATATTATATTGTATTGTATTGTATTATATTATATTATATATACATATATATATAGGTATAGATATAGATACATATATATATATATATACATACATACATCTTTTCATTCGCAGCGATGGAGTCTGTCTAGGACGGACGCCTAGCATGATATGCATGATGAACTCAACAAGCACCTAATTAGATTGGAAAGCAGTATGCGCTCACAGTCCTTTAGGGCCCGTGGCTATATACATACATACATACGTACATCTTACTGGTACATACATACATACATATCAACAGGATGCATCCCCTTTTTGGGTTGACTTCATGTTGAGGGTGATGTACACAGTCACAATGTCACCGACACCATCTGCAATGCATTGTTATTCTCGGACCCTGTAAAGTCGACCTCCTGTGCACCCCCCCATGCCCTGGCAATACATTCGCTAGGGACATGTATCCGCTGTGCCTGCTGTGTTCGGCAAGGTGATGGGCAGCCCAACCCCGCCTCACAGCGTTGCACTGGTTGCAAAGTTCGTGGGAGATGTGAGCGGCAAACACCACGCCCAAGACGCCGGCTTGGTGAGAAGGGCTGTGAGCTTTCAGAACGGCGCACTCGTGACGAGCCCAAGGCGGCGTGCCATGCAGCGAGAGATTGCTGCGAAGGTGTCTCGGAGCTCAGGCCCTAACTTCCGCAGCAGACCCAGTCATAAGCTCGCGACTGTACAGCTACCTGCTTCACTGTCAAGCCATGGCCCACATGTAGAAAGTGCCCTGAGATTTGAATTTCTTTTCTGTCGCAGTCTGATCGTCTGGCACACTTTGGTCATCACGATCCGGCCTAAGGCCGCGTCCCTAGTCTGACCAGGAAAACGGGGAGGGAGCGAGAGAGAGAGGGGGTGGGATATGCGGACACCCGACAAAACCCTGAGGACCCGTAAGTCATCGCAACCTTCATGCCACAGCCTTGCCCAATCTCACGGCAAGCTACAAGTGACCGCAAGAGCCAGCAAGACTCCGATGTCGACAATGCGACTCGTCACACCGGGCTCCCATGCACATCCCGTCCCTCGATTTCAAACCGTCGCTCGTTGGTTTGGTGAAGATACGCACAGACAGGCGTGGAACTCCGTTTCGAACACGACCCTGAGGTGTGTGTGTGTGTGTGTGTGTGTGTGTGTGTGTGTGTGTGTGTGTGTGTGTGTGTGTGTGTGTGTGTGTGTGTGTGTGTGTGTGTGTGTGTGTGTGTGTGTGTGTGTGTGTGTGTGTGTGTGTGTGTGTGTGTGTGTGTGTGTGTGTGTGTGTGTGTGTGTGTGTGTGTGTGTGTGTGTGTGTGTGTGTGTGTGTGTGTGTGTGTGTGTGTGTGTGTGTGTGTGTGTGTGTGTGTGTGTGTGTGTGTGTGTGTGTGTGTGTGTGTGTGTGTGTGTGTGTGTGTGTGTGTCTGTGTGTCTCTGTGTGTCTGTGTGTCTGTGTGTCTCTGTGTGTCTCTGTGTGTGTGTCTCTGTGTGTCTCTGTGTGTGTCTCTGTGTGTCTCTGTGTGTCTCTGTGTCTCTGTGTGTCTCTGTGTGTCTCTGTGTGTCTCTGTGTGTCTCTGTCTGTGTGTCTCTGTGTGTCTCTGTGTGTCTCTGTGTGTCTCGTGTGTCTGTGTGTGTCTCTGTGTGTCTGTGTGTGTCTGTGTGTCTCTGTGTGTCTGTGTGTCTGTGTGTCTCTGTGTGTCTCTGTGTGTCTGTGTGTCTGTGTCTGTGTGTCTGTGTGTGTGTGTGTCTGTGTGTGTGTGTGTGGAACACCTGTTTGCCAAGGTGCTAATGATTCATTCGTATACTTTCATGCAGGGGGCGCGGGGTCCTCTGACACAGCTCGCGCCAACGAAGCTCTGTGTCAGATGGACAGGAAAACGTACCTGCAGGTCAGTTCCTGGGTGCTGGAGGCACAACTGGATTGGCCATTGGAAAACAAAGTGATCGACTGAAGATGAGCCTTGAGGCCAGATTGGTACCGGACCCCCTTGAAAGCTTCATGCTTTCGTGATACATCAAGCGGTGCTTGATAACCAAATTGATGAGTGGCTGCGCGATGGATATCTAAGTGTGTCCCAGGTAGTTACAAGCTGGTCTTGTATTCGTTTACCGCGCTACCTGCGGCGGGGTTAGCCCGTGCGAGTACCTGCCAGGGTGGATCTGATAAAGGCAGGGATACATTGTTTTGGGCCCGTCGTGGTCCTCACAAGTCCGACTGAATTTGCTGCTCCGATGGTGCAGACATCTGATTACTTCAGTCGTGATGTTTTCTCCGCTCCTGACTTAATGTCAGGTTTGATGCCAGGTTTCATTGCAGGTCCTGAATTTTTGCAGATCCGATGGAACCAACGGCTTTTCTATCCGCAGACCACGATTTCAGCTCCGAGACAAAAGCTTTACTCCGTGAAATCGAGACAGGTAAACGTACCTGTAGTGGTCGGCATGGGCACTTGAGTGCAGCTTGTGGCCACAAATCGATTTGTTTGACAACATGAGTGTAATGCAGCTTTTCGAAAGACTGCAGGGGGCAGAGGGTCTCATTTCACGGCCCCTGCCAACTCTGACAACTGTCAAAAACTGTGCCACAACAGGAACATTGGGGAGGTGCTGCTTTCTTAAACGCCCTGGCTGTCTCAGCTGTCGGTCGGCAAGCACCGCGGGGCTGCGGCATTTCAGTAAGACCTGCGAACTGTGGATGCTTGACCGTGTTAATAGGACATGCACTGCAGGGCTGCGGCATTCTGTAAGACCTGCGAACTGCAAGTGCAGTCCTCTACCGGGATTTGCAGGGCCTCATGTGGCCACCCTTTACCGTCCCTTTTCCTTTTTTCCGCATGTGTCGTTTCGTAGTCATAGTTTTATCTTTTTCAATGCTCGCAGCCAGGGAGGCTTTTTCCAGCCTGAAAGGCTGCCTCCAGCTGCAGCTCCTTTACCTTCACTGCTATTATGTTTTAAGGCTACACAGCCAACCGCCCGCCCTCCTGCAGAGCTTTTGTCGGTTCCTTTTTCAGTTTCCGCTTCCCCATTGCAAACTAGGGGCCAAGCAAAGAAGCTTGTTGGCTACCCCGCAAAGCGGGGTGTGTGTGTGGAACACATGTTTGCCAAGGTGCTAATGATTCATTCGTATACTTTCATGCAGGGGGCGCGGGGTCCTCTGACACAGCTCGCGCCAACGAAGCTCTGTGTCAGATGGACAGGAAAACGTACCTGCAGGTCAGTTCCTGGGTGCTGGAGGCACAGCTGGATTGGCCATTGGAAAACAAAGTGATCGACTGAAGATGAGCCTTGAGGCCAGATTGGTACCGGACCCCCTTGAAAGCTTCATGCTTTCGTGATACATCAAGCGGTGCTTGATAACCAAATTGATGAGTGGCTGCGCGATGGATATCTAAGTGTGTGTGTGTATGTGTGTCTGTGTGTCTGTGTGTGTGTCTGTATGTGTGTGTCTGTGTGTATGTGTGTCTGTGTGTCTGTGTGTGTGTGTGTGTGTGTCTGTGTCTGTGTGTCTGTGTGTGTGTGTGTGTGTCTGTGTGTGTCTGTGTGTGTCTGTGTGTGTCTGTGTGTGTCTGTGTGTGTGTCTGTGTGTGTCTGTGTGTGTCTGTGTGTGTCTGTGTGTGTCTGCGTGTGTCTGTGTGTCTGGTGTGTCTGTGTGTGTCTGTGGGTGTCTGTGTGTGTGTGTGTGTGTGTGTCTGTGTGTGTGTGTGTGTCTGTGTGTCTGTTGTGTCTGTGTGTGTCTGTGTGTGTGTGTGTGTGTGTGTGTGTGTGTCTGTGTGTGTGTGTGTGTGTGTGTCTGTCTGTGTGTGTGTCTGTGTCTGTGTCTGTGTCTGTGTCTGTGTCTGTGTCTGTGTCTGTGTCTGGTCTGTGTGTGTGTCTGTGTCTGTGTCTGTCTGTGTCTGTGTCTGTGTCTGTGTCTGTGTCTGTGTCTGTGTCTGTGTGTGTCTGTGTCTGTGTCTGTGTCTGTGTCTGTGTCTGTGTCTGTGTCTGTGTCTGTGTCTGTGTCTGTGTGTGTGTGTGGTGCGTGCGTGCGTGCGCGCGCGTGCGCGCGTGCGCGCGTGCGCGCGTGCGCGCGTGCGCGCGCGTGCCTGCGTGCGTGCGTGTGTGAGTGTGCCCTACAGGCCTGTATAGGACTTTGCTGGTTCCACATTTGTCGCCGTGGCTGCACATGTACGTGCAATGCGTGCTGCCCCTGCAAACAGCTTCGATGTTGCAGGCCGGCGCCCTCGCAAGCGGGTGCTTGGATGCTAACTGCCAAAGGACTGCTTGATTACTAGAGAGCTTCCTATACCCCTGGCTGCCACGTTCTGCGATTTTACTGAGTTTACGATCCATCATGTGCGGCCATTGGCAGTATCCGAAAGTCAGATCATCGATCTACCCTGGCACATCCCCAACTGATTTAGAATTTAGACATCTTCACAAACAAAGACCTGCTCGGAACTAGTGCAGCAGCAGCTAGCAGCAACCTTACTTTCAGTGTGCTCTTAGCTTCCAATTCCTTCGTTCGAATTGGAAAGCTTGGGCCTGCAACCTTTTTACTTGACAGGGAGCCGTTGCTCGTTCTCTGTCTTTCAAGCTTTAAGCCTTTGAGGATGAGGAGTTTGTTGCCTACGCAGTCTACAGAGTTTACAGGTTTGGGGCTTTGGGGTTTTGGTGCCTCAGATCGCCCTTCGGCAGAGCGGCTAGAGTCGTGCACAGTTCGGCTGCACACGTGGTGCAGACATCGCATTACGTGAAACGCTGGTCGATGATGAGGCAACCATTGGGCGGAGGGCATGAACAAGTACTGATGCCTTCACTGAGTATGATGGCCCTCCCTCGGCAGAAAACTGCAGTACGTGGATGCCTCTTCCAGCCATTCTATGTGCGCAAGGAGTGAGACGGCGGCATCTCGCACGCTAAACTGCGCACTGCTGCCGGGCACTAGGATCACTAGAAGTTCCGCATCTGCGGGGCAGTGGCAGGTGATGCCGAGTGTAGGGACTCACCGGCACCGATGTTGATGAATCCTGGAATCCTTTCCACGAGAAAGCTGTTCCGCCTCAACTCTGAGGGATTACTTCTATGGCTTGGCCCCATACGAATACGGATTCCAGGCGGGTCTGCGCTGCCCGTAAACCTAACGGGGCGAGCGTTCCGAGGAAGCCGAGGAAAAGCGGGACACTGAAGCCGTAGCCCAGTTCGCCCCTAGAACTGCTCGAAGTGCAATCGGTCACTCAGAGTTTTGGCGTGTGCAACTCGGAGCCTTCCAAGAGCAGCTAGCCCAGAGATTTAGATTCGACACCACCACATACAACTTTGTTGCGTGGTCCTTGCCAGGCTGTGGGCTACATCTCTTCAAGCTATGATTCCTCAATCCGTGTTGTAGACTCTGGACGTGCAGTGTAGCTCTGGCCTCCTCTGGCGATTGTCTTCATGCCTTGCAAGATGAAGACTGGATCCCATCCGATCGCTCGATCGTTGATAGCTTCTTGAAATCTAGAGGATTGCTCGCATCTTACGGCACTCCCTTCAACATATGCTGCGGGCAAGAGAAGTCTTCGACTGCAAACAAAATCTAAACAATGAAGCTTGAAATTCGTGTCTAACTCCTGAGCACACCGTGTCCATCTCGAGATCGCTTTGGCGCCTCCGCAGCAGACGCTGCCTCCTCAGCCTTTGGTGCCTCGGCAGCTGGCTCCTCAGTCTTTGGCGCTTCTGCGGCTGCCTCCTCAGCCTTTGGTGCCTCGGCAGCTGGCTCCTCAGTCTTTGGCGCCTCTGCGGCTGCCTCGGCAGCTGGCTCTTCAGTCTTTGGCGCTTCTGCGGCTGCCTCCTCAGCCTTTGGTGCCTCGGCAGCTGGCTCCTCAGTCTTTGGCGCCTCTGCGGCTGCCTCGGCAGCTGGCTCCTCAGTCTTTGGCGCTTCTGCGGCTGCCTCCTCAACCTTTGGTGCCTCGGCAGCTGGCTCCTCAGTCTTTGGCGCTTCTGCGGCTGCCTCCTCAGCCTTTGGTGCCTCGGCAGCTGGCTCCTCAGTCTTTGGTGCTTCTGCGGCTGCCTCCTCAGCCTTTGGTGCCTCGGCAGCTGGCTCCTCAGCCTTCGGTGCCTCGGCAGCTGGCTCCTCAGTCTTTGGCGCTTCTGCGGCTGCCTCCTCAGCCTTTGGTGCCTCGGCAGCTGGCTCTTCAGTCTTTGGCGCTTCTGCGGCTGCCTCCTCAGCCTTTGGTGCCTCGGCAGCTGGCTCCTCAGTCTTTGGCGCCTCTGCGGCTGCCTCGGCAGCTGGCTCTTCAGTCTTTGGCGCTTCTGCGGCTGCCTCCTCAGCCTTTGGTGCCTCGGCAGCTGGCTCCTCAGTCTTTGGCGCCTCTGCGGCTGGCTGGGCAGCTGGCTCCTCAGTCTTTGGCGCTTCTGTGGCTGCCTCCTCAGCCTTTGGTGCCTCGGCAGCTGGCTCCTCAGTCTTTGGCGCCTCTGCGGCTGCCTCGGCAGCTGGCTCCTCAGTCTTTGGCGCTTCTGCGGCTGCCTCCTCAGCCTTTGGTGCCTCGGCAGCTGGCTCCTCAGTCTTTGGCACTTCTGCGGCTGCCTCCTCAGCCTTTGGTGCCTCGGCAGCTGGCTCCTCAGTCTTTGGCGCCTCTGCGGCTGCCTCGGCAGCTGGCTCTTCAGTCTTTGGCGCTTCTGCGGCTGCCTCCTCAGCCTTTGGTGCCTCGGCAGCTGGCTCCTCAGTCTTTGGCGCTTCTGCGGCTGCCTCCTCAGCCTTTGGTGCCTCGGCAGCTGGCTCTTCAGTCTTGGGCGCTTCTGCGGCTGCCTCCTCAGCCTTTGGTGCCTCGGCAGCTGGCTCCTCAGTCTTTGGCGCCTCTGCGGCTGCCTCGGCAGCTGGCTCTTCAGTCTTTGGCGCTTCTGCGGCTGCCTCCTCAGCCTTTGGTGCCTCGGCAGCTGGCTCCTCAGTCTTTGGCGCCTCTGCGGCTGGCTGGGCAGCTGGCTCTTCAGTCTTTGGCGCTTCTGCGGCTGCCTCCTCAGCCTTTGGCGCCTCGGCAGCTGGCTCCTCAGTCTTTGGCGCCTCTGCGGCTGCCTCGGCAGCTGGCTCCTCAGTCTTTGGCGCTTCTGCGGCTGCCTCCTCAACCTTTGGTGCCTCGGCAGCTGGCTCCTCAGTCTTTGGTGCCTCTGCAACTACCTCCACAGCTGGCTCCTCCGTCTTGGGCGCCTCTGCGGCTGCCTCTTCAACCTTTGGTGCCTCGGCAGCTGGCTCCTCAGTCTTTGGCGCCTCTGCGGCTGCCTCGGCAGCTGGCTCCTCAGTCTTTGGCGCTTCTGCGGCTGCCTCCTCAACCTTTGGTGCCTCGGCAGCTGGCTCCTCAGTCTTTGGCGCTTCTGCGGCTGCCTCCTCAGCCTTTGGTGCCTCGGCAGCTGGCTCCTCAGTCTTTGGTGCCTCTGCGGCTGCCTCGGCAGCTGGCTCTTCAGTCTTTGGCGCTTCTGCGGCTGCCTCCTCAGCCTTTGGTGCCTCGGCAGCTTGCTCCTCAGTCTTCGGTGCCTCTGCGGCTGCCTCTTCAACCTTTGGTGCCTCGGCAGCTGGCTCATCAGTCTTTGGCGCTTCTGCGGCTGCCTCTTCAACCTTTGGTGTCTCGGCAGCTGGCTCCTCAGTCTTTGGCGCCTCTGCGGCTGCCTCCTCAGCCGTTGGTGCCTCCGCAGCTGGCTGCTCAGACTTTGGCGCCTCTGTGGCTGCCTCCTCCGTCTTTGGTGCCTCGGCAGCTGGCTCCTCAGTCTTTGGTGCCTCAGCAGCTGCCTCCTCAGTCTTTGGTGCTTCTGCGGCTGCCTCTTCAGCTTTTGGTGCCTCGACAGCTGTCTCCTCAGTCTTGGGCGCCTCTGTAGCTGCCTCCTCAGCCTTTGGTGCCGCGGCTGTTTCGGTACTCTCCTCCGGTTTTGCCTCTGCGGCTGGCTCCGCTTTAGGGGCCTCAGCGGCCAGCTCCTCCGGTTTTGCTTCTTGGGCTGGAGTGGGGGGCGCCTCTGCAACCGGTTCTGCCTTTGGTGCCTCCACTGGTGTCTCCTGCGGCTTTGCCTCGGTGACGGGCTCGGGTGCTGGAACCTAGGTTGGCAAACCGCGTACGAGACACAAGAATGCCCTGAGCTCATACAGTGAAAAGCCACAGTGCGTCCCGTGATTGCGCATGAAGTCACACTTGGACAAACTGCTCCTTGAAGCTTAACGCAACCGTTGGCTGACGTGTCCATCCTTGCAACTACGTCGACTGAAGTCACATCAACTTGTTGCAGTTGGTGTGGTCATTCCACATTGAGCGCTCTGTATCAACAGGATTCAACAGAGTCCCTTGCGACCAACCAAAGGGGTTTAACACAGATCCCACCGCCAAAAAATACCTCACACGGGCGCTGGAAACAAACTACCTAAACACGCGCAAACACAGCGATGTGCGAGCGCTCTCGACTGCTAACAGTGTAACATATAAGAAAGACCGGTTTCCGCATGAGACGACGCTCGAATGCGTCCGAGCACAGCATGCATCACCCCGTGCAAAGGCGGAAAGGCTGCCTACTCCCCATATTAGACAACCAGTGGCGAAGGGTTTGCATATTGAGCTAGTTGCAAGCACTTTCAACTCGCCAAGTTAGTTTGAGCAAAACACTGTGTACGGCACGTTTGACTGTGAAGCCCCGAGCCTGATCGTGCCTTGCACATTAAAGCGTTCACATCAGAAATCACGATCTTGTGGGTTGGTCGCCGGGACAAGGTGTTCGCGAGGAAATCTTCTGCGACGCGTGCTCTACGGGAATTCTGAGATTTGCATGTTGGTGCACACATGATGCAGCAGCATTTAGCACTTCCTCCGGAACCTGTACCACATGTGCACGAACCAACGAGGTCAAGGAACTGCTTTTGGCGCCTCCTGCAAGGATATAGCACTGTCCGGCAGACACACGCCATGCAGGCTCACAGCAACTCTCGCGCCTGCGTCGCACACTCTGCAGCGCCGCCGGCGATGTAGCCATTCATGAACAGCCTAAGCCAGAAAGGATTCAGTGAAGAGCCGGAGCCAGAGAGGACTGCAGTGACGAGTCAATGCCATCACTGAAGCCTGACTATGCACACACCATGCGCCCTTCATTCCGTCGCAGTCGTCCTTGCAGGCCGCAAGTTTAAAAACGCGATTGCCAAGGAGCTTCGCCATGAACCGGTAAGGGTCGTCCGGCTTTTCTTTGATCACAGCCTGGAGTACCGCCTGTTGGATCAGGCAGCAATGCAGAGGAGCTTGTCGCGCTCCGTCTGGTGGCATGGACGTTTCCATCGAAAGCCCTGAACGACTGCAACTACGGCGGATGTGCCCCGCAGCCTGCACCACACGCAGAACATCGTGGTTGTCCAGGTACTCTTTGGCCTAGGCTCAGACGTGGAGGATTCGCAAGGCACTCTGGTCGTCTAGAGGCAACAGCACCGAGCTCTTGCTGCCCGGTCGCTCCCTTGGCACTGGCAGCGGGATCCTTTTCGGGGTGGTAACTAGGAAATCACAGCCACAGGGAACGACCCCAACTTCCGGTTGAGGTACGACGACCGAGACATGAGGGAACGAGACCATTGCTTCTCACGACAGAACAAGCAAGCGAGAGAGAGACAAGAGAGGGGTCAACACAGATGGAGGGAGGGAGAGGGAGAGAGCGAGAGCGACAGATGGAGGGAGGGAGGAGAGACAAGACAAGAAGACAGAGACCGGGACAGCGAGATAGAAAAAGATAAAGGGAGTGTGCATGGGAGTGAGTGAGTGAGCCCAGGAATGCTGCTTTCTGAAGCGTCCTGGTTTCGCTTCGACTCGTCCGAAGACTTGGCCGCTGCATCGCCGTCAGTCTGCGAGATTTGCTGGTTTGAGGGGCGTGTGAACCATGCATCTTGCGGCACTTGTTTCCTACATTGTCCTACATATCTCATTTTCAAACCCTCCAACCTTCTTGACTTCCAGCTCCACTTCCGCTTCAGAGTCACCTGCGAAGGGCGCTAAAGCAACCTCTGCAGGTTCGTACACACACAATTGCTAGTGCAAGTTTCCCTCAGGCTCGCACCAAAGGTCACTTTGTACCGTTGACACTCCTAAAGGCTTCGGCAGAGGGCGATATTTTGGAAGCTCTCTTCTGCAGCACTCTGACACCGCTGTTGTGGCTTGTGATCTGCCATCCGTGGCTTTCAAAGGATGGCACCTGCACCTCCAACACAGGCTACCTGCCTCCGGAAATAGAATAAAGGATGAGCACGTGCACACACAAGTGCAGGAGGCCCCCACTTCTGACGGAAAAACACTATCGAATCAAGCCGGCGCTTGAGGAACTGTTTAGTCGGGATGCCCCAGGCTTCGTCACCAAGTGCCCAGTACCCACCTGGCAAAGACTCGCCACCGCAAAGATTCGCAATTGACAGACACTGTGATAGCTTTGGGGGCTAACGAGAACAAGCAGCCTGTTGAAGGATGTCGACGCGAAGAGGATTTTCCTTTCGAAAGGAAATCCGACATGTCGGGGTCTGCACGCACTGCGTGCTCATGACAGAGCTTGAAGTGCCGTTCTTGATTTGGTCCTACACGAACAACTCGATCTACCTTGCTTCTAACCCTGCGTCAAAGTAGCCATGAACACCAATAAACGCATAAATTCATGTCATGAACCTCTTAGAAGACCCAAATGTCCTTCTTCCAAGACCTTGCCCGAGTGCCTTGGCCTATTCAAAACGAACTAATGACCAATAGCAGACTCCTTCATCAGCTCCACGGGAAACTTGAACCTCGGTGAGCCCATAAAATACACAGGTGAAAATACTGGGCCCGCGAGGCAGGCCCATCAAAACCCAATCAACGTGCATTATACAGGCCACACAAACACTGATTATGAGGGCAAACACGGGCACTCACACACACACACACACAGGCGAGCACACACACACACACACACACACACCCGCGCGCGCATGCACGCACGCGTTGTTCAAATGATTGTCCTACGCAAGCGGTCATTCCATTGCTCAACTGTCAAGGTTCGTTCAATGCTTCAACATCCTGTAACTTTCATGGGTCTCCTGACATGTTGAGAACGAGCGGTGATCATCCTGCAGCACATTTGGCTCCATGTCTTAAGAAAAAAACATGGTACGGATGCGCTCTGCCTCATTCGGGGTTTGGAACAGACTGCCGGAGTTTCTGTTCTCCCTGCATCCTTCGGAATCAGGCTACTCGTCCACATGTCCATATGTGTCGGAAAAACATCTCGTGCAGCGCGGCCTTGCCGCCGAACAGCCGCATTCCCGCCCTCTCCTGTCCCACACAATCCTCAACTGTAAATCCCGCTCCGCCCGAGAATACAAGAAACAATACTTTATTACATGACCCGCAAGGATGGTCCAATCTCTTTCTAGGAAGTGCACGGGAGACGCCCAGAGTCCAGCTGCGCCTGCCTTGACACACTGTGAGCAGATTCCAACAAGCCATTTGGAGGTTCATGGGTGCTCACCAATAGCTAGGCATTCGGTGGGGAAGGTCGGTACAGATACGTCATCAGCACATGACAACTCGAGCAACACCCACAAAACCCCCTTCTGCCGTGCCGGCCTCCGCATGCTTCCAGCTCGGATGGACAGGATCTTGGCAAGGGGGCTTTTACTGTAGTCGTCTGTTGGGGCAAGTGCAGGTGCTTCTGGAAACCATACAGGGAATCTGAGGGTGTGGACGGCATCGTCGGGGATTCCACTTTTGGAAAGCCTTAGGCTCTGCAAGGGTCAACTTCAGATTTCCCCGCCTTTCCTTCTCGGAGCAACGTTGCTTTGCCATTCCGTGGCTGAGGCTTCCGCAGATTCACTTCCATCGCTTCTCGACTCGAGCAGAATTTAGTTCAAGTGCCTGATCGCAAAAGGCGGAAAGGTCCAGGTGGCCGATACCCAGCCCGACCCACAGCGGAAGGTTGAGAGACGAGGCCCCCATTCTCAAACAATGCAGCGCAACATGACATGGGCACATGCTGTCGCTCATCTGCACATCACCCTTGCGGCTGTTGCACGTTCTTTCCTGATCCATTCCATGTGAGATGCGCAAGTTGTCAAAGACTCGCAGCGATGCACTGACACTGAGGCCCTGAAGGCAACTCTCCAAACACGTGATTTTGTATCTTGATAGGAATCGGAATGACCCAGGTGTCCGTGCATCCTCTGTTGTCGTGCTCCGTCCCCACCGCACGCTCCACGTAGCGGCACAGGGCCCGGCTCAGAACAGAAGCAATTTGGAAAAGAGACGAAGGGTATGAGCATGGGTCAAAATCCAGCTGCATCCCAAAATGAACTGAACAAACATGAACGGACCGCGATATACACTCCTAGTTTGTGATTTGTGCGAGTAATTACTTGATTTTGACCCACAGCCAACTGCCCTCAGGTGCACGTATGCAGCTTGGCTTCAACTTTCACGCAAGATCGAAGAACACTTCCTGCAACCCGTGTTTAAGGTAAACATCGGCTGTGTGGATTGGTAAGCGGCCCAAGTGGCCCAAACCCCCAAACATTTGATGCAGCAAGCCCCCATTCGTCCGAGAGAGAGATTGGATGGATTAAAGCTGTTTGTTGTAGATATATAGTCATCTAATTTAGAGGTCTTCTGCAGTGTGACCTGCCGAAGCATGCCGCGCTCTACACAGGCGATGCATTCAGCAGTGTCGCACAGAGTTTCTCTACTTCTCCCAAAGTAATGCCTAGTTCACTCAATGTTTTGCTGTCTTCTTGGCACGGCCGTCCATCGACCAGAATGCGGATTGCTTCTGCCGCGACGGCTACATGCAAACGGCTCTGGAAGACCATGCGTAGCAACTTCCTCAGCTTCGACAGGGTAGCACTGCTAGGGTCCAGCTTGAAGGAGGCGTAATCAGATTCCATCTGAGGTCCTAGTCCTTCCATCCTCACCAGGACGCAGCCGGCGCCCAAGGACTTCTGTCGCTGCGCCGCAGGACTTTGGTCATCGGCTCCCTCCAGGCGACCAATGAAATAGTCCACTGACTGAGCCTTGGCCTTGCGGCTATGGATGGCCTCCCATTCCTCTGTGCAGTCTGTGCCCAGGCAACGGCAAATCGCGAGGATGGTCGAGGTCTGCCCGGCAATGGACCAGCCGGGGTGGGTCTTCACGAACTCGGTGATGTCAAAGACACAACCACCCACTGCAATCCATCCGTCGTGATTCTGGTTGTGTTTGGCCACTTCTTCCATGGTGAAGAAGGGCGACTTATCATAGATCACAGGCGCCATGAGCACTCCGGCTGCTCTTCAGCTGGCTTAGCCCAAGCTTGAGCCGCAGTCATCGGTTGAAGGGCTGTTGTCCCGACTGCGAAACGGAGGAGGGTTATTCGGTGGAGCTGCGCCTGGTACATCCAGCAATCTTCCTAATGCCACGAATTGCGAAACGGGGTTGTAACTAAGAGGGAAATGTTCGCCTTAAACACACCAAGCATTGACAGGTCACTGCTGTGCCTGCTGTGTTCTGCAACGTGATGGGCAGCCCAACTTCACCTCGTAAAGTTGCAGTGAAGCTGCCCTGGACAGCCCCTGAAACCCACTCCCAAGGCGCCGGCTCGGCCAGAAGAAGGGCCGTGAGCTTACAGAACGAAAGACTCAGAGCCCAATTGGCACAAGCAGCGGCAAGTCCAGTTGCTCAAGCTTCAAAACTGCTGGAGAGTCCAGCTGCTGGAGGGGAGTAAGATGGAGAAAGAGGTAGGATGCGGTAGGTTGCATTCTCCAGTCCGTCTCTTTTCAGCCGCAAGGCCAGCGTCGCAACGGTCTCGCGCACGCCATCACTCGTCTTCCGGTGGTTCCACGAGCCACCTCAGACAAGCCGAACTGAGGCCGATAATGAATTCCGCATCAGTGCACAGATCAAGATCCCTGCCAGAACCCGCCTCCTCACAGGACCAGAAAGCTGCAGGGGGCTTAGAGGATGCTTGGTCCCTACAATCAATTGCATGTCCTTTGCCGATGTGCAGATCTGTGCTGAAGCGCTGGGCACATACAGCCATCACCTTAGACGACAGAACCCTCAGATCCGCACACGCCCGAAAGCGCGCGAAGCTCACCCGCCGCGGGGAGTCGGAATAGCTGACAATATACCCATGTCGATAGCTGACTTTGCTGCATGATTCCAGCACGTCAAAGTTAAGGGAGAAAGACAGACTTTGAACAGTCGTGCGGTTGCGTTTTTTGTCGTCTCTCGAACCCACTACTGCTTCACCTTTCGTACTGGTGGTGCTGCAGCCATCACTCTGGTGTTAGAATGAGATGGCTCAGAAGCACCACATGCACAACTCCAATGCCGAAAACCGGATGCAGCAGGCTTTTCACGGGGAAGCGCAACATCCGCAAGACGGCACAAGAACACACAACTTTGGTGCGTGGAGGCGATCTTTAGACTCTAGATCGCAGCGCCAGTGCGCAGCGCTTGTAGTCTGCCCACCCAGGCCCAGGTTTCAAACAACCACCGCCTCAGCTGAACAAGAGCTTCACTTGCAATGTAAGACATGAAAATATACACTGTCACTGAAACACTGCTTCTAAAAAGCGCTGTCAGGCCGGTTCGGCTGATCTCTGCTGTGCTCGGCTGAATCTAGCGTTGAACCCCTGAGCCTGGATTTCACAACCGTGGCGCTTGGTCAGGCTGTGGTGGCATTGAAAGCCAGAAACGCCTTTGTAGCTGCAGCTCCTTGTAACTCACAGCTCTGTGGTCCGGCAAGATGCACATGGAGTCACATGGAGCCTTTAGTGCGGCTAGTCCTTGGGGTTTCCGGCCATGAGGTTCACCGTTCCCTGACATTTTGCAGGCAACGCAAAGCTCGGTGATCTCGGAACTTACAACACAGCGCCTGGTCGAGGTTGAACAGCACTGTGGCCAGTGTCCAATCACTCAAGTCCCCGGTTGCGTGCGAGTGCTCGTCATGGAAAATGGGATACCTGGCTTTCCAAGTAAAGCAGCTCAACTGCCGAACAGACAGATTATTCACAAGCAACCCGAACTGAGACGTCTTCTGGAAATTAGAAGCTAGCGTGGCATGCAAAAACCCACCAACACCATGCGACCGCTTGGTCATTCTACGTCGCCCGTCCAATTGCATGAAGCTGCGAGCGGTCGTGCTGGTCTCCAAGAATTTTCAGTGCATCCTCAGGGCTGAACACAATGGTGGACGTGAATCCGGACTCTCTTCCTTGCTTCCTTCTTTCTCCATCTCGCAAGGCTGGGATCAATGCCCACTGGCGAGGGAAGAAAGCATTCCTTCCTCGAAGGAATGAGTCCAGTCTCCTGGACCCTTGCCTAGGCGCTCCCTGGACTCTCTTTCTTTTCGCCAGGGCGGCAGTCGGGAGTTGGGGTGCATGCAGCTCACGCGAAGTCACGGACGAGCGCAAGAAGGAAATGGCTACAGTCGGCACTCGTGTCTAGGGCTTGCTTGCTTGATTGCCGAAGGCCTACCCCCCATGGCTCGCGGCGGTCTGTATCTCTCTCTCTCTCTCTCTCGCTCTCTCTCTCGCTCACTCTCCCAAAGCTCCTGTGGCGTCTGCGGCGCTGGCAGCATGCGAAGCCGTGCCAAGCGATGCACGGAGCTATTCCCGACCACCCTCGGCACATGAAAGAACTGGGTGAGTTGGCGACGTAGGAGGCATACAGTAATTACCAGTTTCCGAACTTGGATTTCTCCATTGCTCGGGTGGTGCTCGTCTGGAACGCTGTCTGGGCTCTGATCGGGGACGGTCAGCGTCTGATACTGGTTGACATGGAAGAAAGCGCTTCCGACGGCCACTTCAGACACCTGTCCAAGCAGCAAGCCCATGCGCCGCTCCGATATCGCTTGCTTGATTCGTCATGTCTGACCAGCCTGGTCGTGAGCAACCTCGAAGTTCGCGATTCGACGGCTCTTGAAATCCATGAGTTGATAGTTGTGGCCTTCACATCTGAGCTATCTCTGGCGTGCTACAAAAGCAGCCCTTACAGATCAATGGTAAGAAAATTGACGGCCTGCTGCATGTCGCTGGGATATGATACGCTGAGCCTCGTCCCAACCTGCTTGCTGCATGTGGCCCGCTCCGTCGCGCAACAAGACACAAGAGAGACAGCACCAGCGCTTCTGCCTACATGCCTGCAACTAGGCCTCTGCAACCTTCCGCATGAACCTGTACTGTGTATCTGCAAGAATCACAAAGCACGGTGGCTTTACGTCGTGTCAGACTCAGTCTCCCGATTGCCTAAAGTCAAGAGATAACAACTGGCCTGTCGCTGTCAGCAGCTGCCTGCTAATGAAGTTGCGACCGAGGCCAGTAGGATCCTCGGATGAAGTATGATGAAATTCTGCGTGCATGCTCATGATCCTGATTGGTTCGGCTTTGTGTTGAGAACTTCTGTGTTAGCAGGCGCTTGATGCCGCTTTGCTGCATGCTGCGAAAACGGCACTGTTGAAATGTTTCAGGATCTTGCCGCCTTGCCGCTATCCATTAACGATTTGGGCTTCGGGAGCTTGCCGGGGCACCTCTGAATCCGAATGTCCGCAGCCGTTGAGGCTCGTTTGGACAAGGCGGTGCTTCGCTAGCAAACCCGCTTCCGCAAACGCTTCTGCATGCTTCTGCGCCCCACGGTGTGGATCCGCTTCTCGGATCGCAACACCCAGCAATGTCCAGCTTAAAGGTTTGGCAGGCCACACCAAACACAAACGCAGAATGCCGTTCAAGTATTGAGACGACATGATAAGGAGACCACGGACGGCCGACCTGCAGAGTGTAGCACCAGCGTCTGCCTTACCGACGAGCGCCCTTCGGTCCGATCCGGAATGCGGAAAACTATCTGGTAAGTTCCGGGCGCGAAAGGGACCGGAGCCAACAACGACAACAGCAGCAGCAGTGGTGACGAAAAGACAGAAGCAAGGCACGGAATGCCATCTGCAACTTAGCATCGCAGTCTCCCGGACCCACCCAATTCAGCGAGAATGCAATGCCCTGTTTGTTGAAGGCGAAGGCCGACCTGCAGACGAATGAGAAGTAGAAGTCAACTGCATTACGCCAGAGCACAGGCAAGCCAGGGGGCATTCCCCCAAGCAGATCACCGGCATAATTTAGGACAGTGAAGTTGCTCTTCCCGAAGGAGACGAAAGCAGCAAACAGCCACTTGTCCTGGGCAGCTACCCAAAACCCCCGGACCATGCAAGGCAGGTCACTATTCAGCTACTCTGGAAGCACGCATACTCATTCCAGCTTTCTGCAGGCACGCGACAGCCATATCACCGTCCTCGTTGTGCGCATCAAAACAATGCTGCGAGTTGCCTTTCAGCGGGCACAAACCGTTCCTTGCAATTGCACATGGCGACTGGCGCAGCAAGCAAAACGCGAGGCTGGACCACGCCACGGTAAGAATGCGCCGGCTGCGCCCACCCACTTCTCATCTAAGGTCTACAGGCTCAAATGCAGTCTTGCAGCAAAGCATAGAATCCTTGGTGCTTGGCAACCAACCCACTGAGACTGGCTGAAACCATGAAGACCAGCACGTACCCAAGCGATCCAAGCGGATGCAAAGTCTCCGTGCAGTGGTCGACTCGTCGGGGGGTGGCCGCCAAAGTGTCTTGGCAATATGCCAACTCCTCCTGCTAAGCTGCTCGGGTGCTTGTCGATTGAGCTCTCTTCAAAGAAACAACGTTTTTCTTTGCTTTCTCCTGGAGGCTCATGGCAATAAGCCGCTCGCTGGACACGTTGGCCCCAGTTGCAATGCCCCGCAGCTCCTCGAGAAGCTCTGGCACGTGCCTTGGAAAGCCGAGTAGCTTTCAGCAACCGTTGCTGCACACCTCACACAGCTGAGATGCTTCTCGTGGTTGGCCAGCAACTGCTGGAAAAGCTGTTGACACCTCGAAGTCACAATTTGCCACAACACACAACGTCGGGCCCCGGGTGTGGAGTCAGGTCCATCGCGCCTGCTACTGTTCAGAAGCTGGTCGATAGCCATTTCCTGAGACACATACCATCAACCAAGCGTGCATGGCTCCAGGTCCGGATGCGCATGTGCTCGGGTTACGTATGACTATAGTGACTATGGGATATATGATATATGATACATTGAGATATTGGGGGGGTTGAATCAATTTTTCGTGAATCTGACAAGTTGCGTGAGATGCAAGTCTTGCCCGAACCGCTGCCCTGTAGCCTTGGACAAGAGATGCAACCCACCCGTCTGTCACAGTAACATGAGAGGTCTCCGGCTGTCTACCACTTCTTTGTCACGATCTCTCAGGATTTCGGCACGGGGGCTGGAGCCCAGAGCCAGACCCAAGGAATGGTGATCCTGAAGTCGAGCAGAAGAGCTAAAACATCGCCTAGCAGTGGAAGCCTCTTTTCGAGCCTCGTCATCGCTCTGGAAGTGGAAGTCAGGCAGCAAGTTCGCTGTTTCCGAAGTGAGAATCTGGAGAAGGCCAAACAGCCCAGCCCATCGAAAATACCCAGGCACCATGGTTCAAGCAGCGTGCATGCGAAACCCGGGGTCAAGCAATGCTAGTCGGCATCCTGTTCGAGTCTTGTGCTGCAGGAAGCACTGAATGATCCTTTCCAACATAACTGGAGCACTGTCTGAGAGCCGATGCAGAGGCGAGGCAGAGCCGCAGACGCACGAGTTGTCTTTGTCGACTCAACATAAAGAACCAACTCTATGAGGGCGATGCAATCTCTGGGTGTGCAGGCGAAAAGCCAACGCCCAGCAGGACCTGGAAGAAAAGCCGATAGCCCCGTCTCCACGCTGCCGGGCTCTCTGGAAGGGTGCTCGAGCTGCCGAGCCGCTCCACCGGGCTTCACTTTGGACTCCCAGAGAGCCATCTGCTCCTGGTCGCTACTGTCGAATCAAACCCGGAAGGGTCGACGACCCCTAGGCTGCCTGCGCGTAGTCCGCGGAGCGCCCGCGGAAATCAACCATGGCCACGTCCATGGACCTGTCGGCCGGGGTTCGGCGGCACCATTCTGCTCGTGCTGCCCTCAGCACCACTTATCCAACCTGGATGGGAAGGCATCTGCTGCCCTCCTCGCTGGGTGGCTTCCCGTTGACACACAGGCAGGCGAACTGCAGTTGGGCTAAGTCTCTGTAAGGATGCGAGGTAAAGCACACCACGGTCTCCCAAGGATGTCTGGAGCTCGGCCTTGCACTGCAGGGAGGAGTCGTCTGGATTCGCTCGAAGACTGGAAAGGCAAGGGCTCGTCGTTGCTCGAAGATGAAAGCTCGACCTTCCACGGGCTGGGTTTACGATGCCAGGTTGCCTGGACACCACCGACACGCTTGCGGGACATGCGCATGCTGTGCAAAGGCTGCACACCGAAACCATCGCAAGCAGTATCCGGACAAATGCAGATAGGGACCGACCGAACACGAGAAAGCCACAGCAACTCTTTCCCAAGCTACACGGATGCAACGGGGAGCACATGAAGAAGAGAAGAAGGGACACAAAAAGAAAGGCTTTGTGCCAAGTCATCGTGGCCCGAACCTTCAATCTCAGAAGGATGGTCGGGCTCAGCCATGATCCCAGCCTTAGACTCAATCGTGCCGCTCAAAGCCTCGCGGATCCCCCGAGCGCGGAGCATATTGCACACCAGGAAAGTCTCTGAGAGCAGCAAGTGTGGACCAGTCCTGCAGGAATTCGGAATGGTATGGCGCGCACACATGTGGTCGGAGTTGCGCTTCAACAACCAGCCTCCAGAGGCACACCGATTTCTACGAGTGCCATATGGCTCTGGCCGTTCCGTACCATGGTGCCTGGGTCTGCGTGAGGGACAACTGATGCAACTTAGCGAATTTCCGTGACCGCATGGGCCTCGCCTACTATGGCGGCGGTCATGTCCTGAAAGGACATGTACCTGGAGCAGGTTGTCATCAGCCGTGCGAACTGCAAAGGAGACCTTAAGATTTTAAGGGCTTGGCTCTTCGTGTAGGATGAGGACAGGTGCGCCGCGGCCTGGAACGCGGAGGCCACGGACCTCGCTTGGAAAGACATGCGGTGAGGGATCTGCGACACAAAAATCAACGTCGGACTTTCCCGGGCATCCAGCCCATGCATGCATTCCTTAGCAGGGCTCCAAGGAGAATTCTCCCACCACAGCTTTGCTTTGCTTTCTCTTTCAGCCTTCTGGGTACACCTGGGCTAGATTCGGCTAGATGAATTGCCCAGCAATCTAAATCATCATAGCAAGCCCAATACACAACACCAGACAGAGACTGAGCCGGCATCCGAGATGCCAAGCCAGCATGCGTGCTCGCTGACCTCGATTCCAAACGACAACCAGCCGAAGAGCCAATAACGAGAGAGCGAGGGTGCCAGCGAGAGAGCCGAGAGAGCATCGTGGCTGAGCTCTGCAACCCACGGTTTGCGCCAGCCTTGCGGCAAGCTCCGTAGCTGCGAGGCCCGCGGAAAGGCTTGGCCTGGACACAGTCTGGAGACGATGAAACTTTGCTCCCTCCTTGCGTCCTTGCGTCACACCGTGGCCCGAGCAGCTGCCGCAAGAAAGCCTGCAAGTCCTTGCAATCCGGCCGGCGAATGGCGGTCCCTACACTTCCTGCTGTGACATCCACTGAGCTGAGCTGGTGGCCGATTTCACACTGTGCCCGACCTTCCCACAGTGCCATGCAGTGCAGCACAAGCAAAGCCATGCAAAGCCCAGAAACCCTGAGAGCAGACAAGGCCGTAGCCCGAAGAAGTGGCGATCGCACCCCGGTCTCGGGCAAGTATTCCTCACATGGCCCGGCGCTCCGTCTTATTTCGGTGAGCCTGTCTTTGTGATTCGTGCCGTCTGTGCCATACATCCCACGCTCCTTTGCAAGAGAACGCATGCGCTCGTCGAGTGCCTGGCCGATCGCCTGGACTGGTGAAGGTTGAAGAAACAGCTCCAATGTAGCAGGAAGCTCCGGCCTGGACCGACCTGAACTGTTCCATGACCTCTTCACACCGTGCATCCTGAGCCGAGATTTCTGGCAGTGTAGCCTGTGCTTTAGCGACCCACGCCCTGAGAACCTCGCTGAATGCTGGCACAAGGTCAAGTAGTCCAAAGTCGAACCGAGCACGGAGAGTCCTACCAAATCTTGGCCTCAACTTCTCACAGTGATGAAACCTCTCCTGCCTACATCTCGCAGCAACTGGAAAGTCGACAACTCCAACGAGGTCCTGTCAATCTAACGTGAAGTCGCAGGAAAAAAGCATCATCATAGCTTCACAGCCAAATATTACTTTCAGAGCACAGCGGCCCCGTCCCTTCCCATGCAAGTTAGCAAGGCGACAAGGCGAGTGCTGCAACGATTCGCTCCGTCAGTCCAGTTGACTTCTGTCACCCAGCCATGCTTGCGGATGCCCCGCCGGCCTTTGTCCCAAAGTGCTCGGGCCTGCCTGCAAGGCTCAGCAGTCTTTTATTCCAGAAATGCACAACCCGCAACACTGTCGGAAATGCACATCTCTTCCTTCTTGACTCACTTTCCATCTCACGAAACATGGCAGGATGGCGTGCTTCGTGAATGGCTCGGTACAAGATAAAAGTTGCAAGATAAAAGTTTCTTGGGCCTGGCCAGCTGTAATCGCATCAACATCTTCTGCTTGCTGTGGGCTCACCAGCAGCCAGTCATAGAGTGCCTTCGCGCTCTTGCCGCAAACTTCAATGCGTTCTCAAAACCCTGTCCGGCCATGAGGGAGCCTGGAACTCGGCCACGCCGCAGGCATGGATGCACTGCTGGAAGTTGCTTGCGCAGGGCAGCCTGTGGCAGGATGTGGGCGAACAGGTAAAGACATGTCTACGAGCCTTCCCTGCAACCCATGGTCTCAATGCAGCCAATTGGCTGGGCATGTGGCTGCGCGGAATTGAGTGTGGCAGTCTGCCCCACAACGCCTGGCGGGGCACCGAGGAAGGTGCCAACGGTGACCCCATGCCTTCGCCTGCTGTCACAAGCAGCGCTGCCACATGGCAAACCCTGGGCAACACCCCGCCCATGTGGTGCCAATGGCTGGCTACAAGGACTATGCTTCTAAAGGTGCTCAGATTGAAGCTGTTTCAGCCGTGTAGTACTGGCAGCAGGCAACCTGCCAGGTAGATGTGTGCTTGCGTGGCCCCTCCCATCCCTCGTGACTGCTTGAGGCAAACACTTCAGAATGCAGGGCTGGAGGGTAGAGGTTGCAAAAGCCAGGCACAACTCAGTTCTCAGTCTCAGTACCATGAGACAAGTAGAAGCTGGCCGCATGATCGGCAGGATAATTTGGCATGCGCACCTTGAGTCAGGAAAC